AACCAAGGAGGGGGAGTTGTCAGTTGAGTGGAATTGCGCCATTTCCCTCCCAGCTGGGTAAAAAGGAGGAAACTCCGTCTCAAAAAAAAAAAAAAAAAAAGAAAACATAACGTTTATAAGAAGTCATTTTGTTATAAAGAAACACAGTTATATACCCTAAACCAAGGTCTTAGAGAGAAAAGGAAACCTGTACACAGACTGGGACAACTGTGTCTTCTCTACCGTCCCCACCTCAAAGTTGCTTTCTCCCTTGTTGCCTAGAAAATCACCCTGATTGGGCATGATTGTTGGGTATGATTGTCCGTCTGTGGGCTTTCCGAGCGCCAAAGGGGCCATGGGCTGCGCCGAGGCTGCCACAGGATCGGGGGCGCCCCTGCTTGGTGTCCACTCACTCTGGTTTCCGCCTTAGGTGGCTCATCCCTTGGGCTGGGACTGGGCTAGGGGAGTGTCCTGGCGATGGCTGAGGCGCGGGTGTCGGAGGGTGAGGCCTGGCCGTCCTGGGTCTCACCCACTGCGCGGTGAGAAGGAGGGGCCGGTCGCCCCCCTTGAGCCCTTCTCCGTCTTTCTGCCGCCCGGGTGGACCAGCAGACAGCGTGGGGGAGCGGTGGGAAGGAAGGTTGGCGGAGTCAAACTCCCGGCAGATGGCTTCAGGCCCCGTGCGCCACACTCGGCCACACCTGGCCTGTAGGGTGGACCCGGTGGGCCTCTGTCCTCACCACTGGCTGGCTTCGCTGTCCAGCTGCCGGGTCGACCAGGTATCAGCTCCGAGGCTAGGACTTGGCCGCCGGCTTGAAACGTTTAAGGTGGACCAGACGCCTCTCTGCCTCTCGCCGGCGGCAGTACCGCTTAGGTCCAGTAGAGGGTGCCATGACGGCTGACGGCCTTCCACCTTCCCAGGCTCACCCGGGTCATCCCATTTCGGCCTCCAAAGTAGCTGCGGCTCTGGGGATCTTTCTGTTTTGTTTTGTTTTTTTCGTAGCCCCACTTTGTGTTTGTTTCCACAGTACATTGAGTTTTTGTTTGTTTTTTGTTTTTTTGCTCTGTCTCTTATGCTCTTTCCTGCACACTGAAGTTGTTTCTTGTGCGTGTATATATATATAAAATACATACGTGTATATATGTATGTGTATACATTTTTTTTTTTCGAATGAGGTCTTCTCACTTCGTCACCTAGGCTGAAGTGCAGGTGTGTGATCACGACTCACTGCAGCTTGGACTTCCTTTTTGTAGAGACGAGGTTCTGCCATGTTTCTCTGGCTGGTCCCAAACTCCTATGCTCAAGCAATCCACAAGCCTTGACCTCCCCATATACTGAGATTACGGGTACGAGCCATCCTGCCTGGCTATCTATGTATCTGTCTGTCTATCTAACTGTTTATCTATCTATCATCTATCTCTGTATGTCTGGTTCTATCTATCTATCTATCTGGCTGGCTCTGTCTGTCTGTCTTTCTGGCCTGTGTATCATCTTTTCAGTAGAGATGTGATCTTGCTATGTTCTCCAGACTCTGGATATATATTTCTTTTTAAAGTTTAATTATTGTTTCTTTTAGAGATGTTGTCTCTCTATGTTGCCCTCAGGATAGTCTTGGAACTCCTAGGTTGCAGGTATCCTCTGTGGCCTCCCAAAGTGCAGGGATTACAGGTGTGAGTCACTGTGCATGTTCTGGTCATGTTTTTGATGTGTTGATTGTTTCCAGTGCAGATGCGTAATCTCATGTCTCAACATTCCTGCTGGTGTGATTGTGACCTATGACTTTACCTAGTACCAGAGTGATTTGGTGCTCCTGCACTGGCCGAGCCCACAGAAGAGAATGTGAAATATCTCTGGACCCAGCACTGAGGTGGTGTGACTATTCTCCTGCCTTGGCACTGCCCACAGGGGACACTGTGACATCACTGGGTCTTGTAGCCAGGTGATGTGAATCTTCTGTCCAGCCTTGGCTTTTCTACAGGGGACATTGTGTCATATCGCTATTTGATGTGACTCTCCTCTCCTACCTGGATGTTGCCCAAAAAGAGATTGTGACGTAACTTTGGGCTCTCCTGCTTGTTCCTTGCCCACAGAAGAGAAAACGTCTTATTGCTGAATTAGCACACAGGTGATGTGATTCTTCTGCCTGCTCACAGAAGTCATTGTGACATATATCTGGGCCTGTCACTGAGATTATGTGACTCTCTTCTTCCTGGGACCTGTCCACAGTGGGGAGTGTGACATATTGCTTGGCCCAGAACCTACATGATGTGACTCTCTTCTTATGCCTAGGCCCTGCCCACTGGGGTGATTTTAACATGCAGCTGGGCCCAGCCCCAAGGTTATGTGATTCCACCTTCTTCCTGAGCCCCACCCACAGGGGCCATTGTGTCATACCTCTGAGACCCTCAATTAGGTGATGTGACTCTTTTGTTGGGGCCCTCTCCTCAGGATATTGTGACATTGCTGAGCCCAGCATCTAGGTGATGTAACTCTTCCCTACTGTTTGGTCTCTACCCAAAAAAAGATTGTGATGTATCACTCTGTCAAGAACCTACATGAGGTGACTGTCCTCTCCAGCCTAGGACCTGCCTACGTTGTGTATTGAGACATGTCACTGGGTCTAACACCTAGGTAATGAAACTCTCCTGCATGGACCCTGCCCATAGGAGTATTATGAGCTGTCTTCTATTAATCACCTAGGTGAGGTGACACACCTCTTCTGTCTGGGACCTGCCAAAAAAGTACTGTTACGTAGCACTGAGCCCAGCACCTAGGTGATGTGACTCTTCTCTCATGCTTGGGCGCTGCCAACTGGGGTGTTTGTTACGTATAGCTCAGCCCCTCCCCTAGGTCATGTGATTCTTTTTTTTTTCCTGAGTGCTACCCACAGAGAAAATTTTGACCTATTTTTGGGCCCATCATTTAAGTGATGCGACACTTCACAGGCCCTCCCTACAAGGTGTAGTGTGACATATTGCTAAACCCAGTACATAGGTGATGTGACTCTCCTCTATGGGTTGGGCTTTGCCCAAGCAGGGATTGTGATGTGTTGCTGGGCCCACCACTCAACTGTTGTGATTATTCTCTTCTGCCTAAGCCCTGCATACATCGTGTATTGTGACATGTACTTGGATTCAGCACCCAGGTGATAGAACTTTATGTCATGAGAACTGCCCACAGTATTATGACATATCTCTTTTTCTTTATTAATTTTTGAGATGGAGTTTCTCTCCTGTTGCCCAGGCTGTAGCACAATCTCAGCTCTCAGCAACCTCTGCCTCCCAGGTTCAAGCAATTCTCCTTCCTCAGCCTTCTGAGTAGCTAGGCATGTGCCACCATGCCCGGCTAATTTTTTGTTTTTTGTTTTTTTTTCAGTAGGGAAAATGTTTCTCCATGTTGGTCAGGCTGATGTCAAACTCTCGACCTCAGGTGATCTGCCCTGTTCAGTCTCCCGAAGTGCTGGGATTACAGGCGTGAGCCACTGTGCTTGGACCTGTGATGGGGTCTTTTTATGTTAGCCAGATTGGTCTTGAATTCCTGGCCCAGGCTGTTCTACCTTAGCTTCTCCAATTTTTTTTTTATTACAAGTGTGAGCCACCATGCTTGGCCTACTTCTTCATTAGATTTCTTATTTTGTTTCATACAAATTCTTCAGTTATCTATTTATCTTTTTTTTTTTTTTTTGAGACGGAGTTTCATTCTTGTTACCCAGGCTGGAGTGCAATGGCGCGATCGCGGCTCACCGCAACCTCCTGGGTTCAGGCAATTCTCCTGCCTCAGCCTCCTGAGTAGCTGGGATTACAGGCACGCGCCACCATGCCCAGCTAATTTTTGTATTTTTAGTAGAGACGAGGTTTCACCGTGTTGACCAGGATGGTCTCGATCTCTTGACCTCGTGATCCAGCCGCCTCGGCCTCCCAAAGTACTGGGATTACGGGCGTGAGCCACCGCATCCGGCCAATTTATCTTTTTTTATTATTATTTTTTGAGACGTTGTCTCACTCTGTCACTCAGGCTGGAGTGCAGTGGTGCAATCCTGAGAATAGCCGCTTCACACAGGATGCTTGAGGAGCCTAAGATGAGCAACTTTGGACAACCTAATTCATGCATAGCTATTCCCGGCCCCTGTGGCCCCCCCATTCCTAATGGCCATCCACGATGTGGTCAGCAGTGGGGTACAGCATGGCCAGAGAGCGGTTCAGGGATGGGATGAAGGTTTTTCCTGCATTATCAAAATGATTAAAAAGTTTTCAAAAAGGTGTCCAAACTTTCTTTTTACCCTTAAGTTGATACTAGGATGTATTAAACAAGCAGACCCAGGTAAGGGAAAGAGCAAGTGCATTTCAAGCCTCAGCTCACTTCTTTATTAGCTGTAATTCCCTGGGCACGTGACCCTTCCTATGGGAGCCTGTTTCCCTGATTTTAAAAAGCGTTGATGCTGGGGAGGGTGGGGGTGGGAGGTGGGCCCTGGACCTTTATCCAATCAGTGGCGCTGGTGCGGGAACCTCCCAATCAGGCCGGCAGCTGGAGCTGAGGGCGTGGCTTCCGGCATTTGGCGGGGCCTTTGTCTCTGCTCCCGCCAGAGCTTGGGATCCATCTCTGCGGCTGAGAGTCCTCCACCCTGGGAGCCGTCGTGACTTGGTTACAATCCTCTGTTGCCCTGTGATCTGCAGGTCCTGGGAGACGCACAGCTAAGATGCCAGGAGACTCTGAAAGCTGGGAAACAGTGAGTGTGCGGGGCTGTGTATCCCGAGAGGGGAGAGCGGGCTGTGAAACCGGCTGGACCTGAGTCCCCTCTGGCTCAGCTCCGCCCCAAGCCCCTCTGGCCGCAAGATGGCGGCTGGACCCGCAGCCAGGACCCCCGCGTCCCTCCTGTACCTGCGGGGCGCCCTGTCTGGAGCTCTCTGGGTAGCTCTGCACCCGCAGCCCCGGGTATTTCCAACATTGTTCAGGGATTTCAGGCAGGTCATCAGGGCAAAATTCCCACTCGGTGTGTGCGTGGGAGGGGATACAGCTGGTAGGGTCTTCAGCCTTTCCTGATAATTATTTTTTTTGTGAGATGGAGTCTCGCTCTTGTCTCCAGGCTGGAGTGCAGTGGTGCTCTCCCGGCTCACTGCAACCTCCGCTTCCCGGGCTCAAGCGATTCTCGTGACTCAGCCTCTTGAGTATCTGGGATTACAGGCACGTGCCGCCGCGCCGGGTGAATTTTTTGTGTTTTTAATAGAGTCGGGGTTTCACTATATTGGCCAGGCTGGTCTTGAACTCCTGGCCTCAGGTGATTCCCCCCCAACCTCGGCCTCCCAAAGTGTTGGGATTACAGGCATGAGCCACCACGCCCGGCCATAAAGAAATTATTCTATCGTCCTTCTAATATTTGTTAAACTTTATATTAATTATCGTAATGAGTTTTTCTGTGAAATTTTGCTACCATTAATTGAATGCCAATAATTCAGAATGCCTGCTCTCCATGAGTACACACAGATTAAAACTATAGATATCTAAAGAATTATTTTTAATAGTATATCCATGTTGTATTCAGCGTTTTGCGCATTAAAATCTCCCTTGGCTGGCGCCGTGGCAAATCACTTGAGGTCAGGAGTTTGAGACTAGCCTGGCCAACATGGTGAAACCGTCTCTATTAAAAATACAAAAATTAGCTGGACGTGGTGGTGCATGCCTGTAATACGAGCTACTGGGGAGGCTGATGCTGGAGAATCACTTGAACCCAGGAGGCGAAGGTTGCAGTGATCCCAGATTTCACCACTGCACCCCAGCCTGTGGGACAGAGTGAGAATCCATCTCAAAAAAAAGAGAGGGAGGGAGGTAGGCAGGCAATAATTCCATAAAAAAGTGGATTAATAGGGCCAGGCCCAGTGGCTGACGCCTGTAATTCCAACTCTTTGTGAGGTCAAGGTGGGTAGATCACTTGAGGTTAGGAGTTCAAGACTAGCCTAGCCAACATGGTAAAACCCCATCTCTATTAAAAATACAAAATATTGGCCGGGCGTGGTGGCTCACGCCTGTAATCCAAGCACTTTGGAGGCCAAGGCGGGTGAATCACCTGAGGTCGGGAGTTCAAGACCAGCCTGACCAACATGGTGAAACCCCGTCTTTATATATAAAAAAAAAAAAAAGAAAAAAGGAAAAAAAAATACGGAATATTGGCTTGGGCGCTGTTGCTCACACCCTGTTGCTCACGCCTGTAATACTAGCACTTTGGGAGGTTGAGGTGGGCCGATCACAAGGTCAGGATTTCAAAACCAGCCTGACCAACATAGTGAAACCCCATCTCAACTAAAAATAGAAATTAGCCGGATGTGGTGGCCCGTGCCTACAGACCCAGCTCCTTGGGAGACCAAGGCAGAAGAATCGCTTGAACCCTGGAGGCAGAGGTTGCAGTGAGCCGAGATCACACCACTGCACTCCAGCCTGCGCAACAGAGTGAGACTCCATCTGAAAAAAAGAAAACAACAAACAAACCAAAATATTGTCATGTGCGGTGACTCACGCCTATAATCTCAGCACTTTGGGAGGCTGATGCAGGTGGATCACCCGAGGTCAGGAGTTCGAGACTAGCCTGACCAACATGGAGAAACCCCATCTCCACTAAATATACAGAATTAGCTGGGTGTGGGGGCACATGCCTATAATCCCAGCTACTTGGGAAGCTGAGGCAGGAGAATCTCTTGAACCCGGGAGGTGGCAGTTGCGGTGAGAGGAGATCACACCATTGCACTCCAGCCTGGGTAACAAGAGCAAAACTCTCATTAAAAAAAAAGTATATATATATGTGTATATATATATATATATATATATCTGTGTGTGTGTGTGTGTGTGTGTGTGTGTGTGTGTGTATTTATATATATATTAGTTGGGCATGGTGGTGGACACCTGTAATCTCAGCTACTGGGGAGGCTGAGACAAGAGAATTGCTTGAACCCAGGAGGCGGAGGTTGCAGTGAGCCGGGATTATGCCACTGCACTCCAGCTGGGTGACAGAGCAAGACTGCATCTCAAAAAAAGAAAAGTTGGGAAAGGACGAGCAGACATGTATTAAAAGAAAACTTTCGAGTGGTCAACAGTCACATGAACAAAAGCTCAACATCACTGATTATTAAAGAAATGCAAATAAGATACCATCTCATGCCAGTCAGAAAGGTGATTTTTTTTTTAAGCATAAATCTATTTTTATATTAATATCACCACAATAAAACTAGAAAATACCAAATGCTGGAAGCCGTCTTCCATGGGTATGGGATACAGGGATAGAGAAGGCAACTGGCACAACCTGATATAATCCCAGGAAAGGAAAGCAGTTGGGATGTGAATTTTCATTTGTATCTGTATGGTTCTGAAAACTGCAGAAAACTTTGCTGTGAGTACTTATAGCTGCAGTTGTATACAACTGTATACCTAATTATTTCCTGGAGGGATTTTTTTTTTTTTTTTTAAAGACGGGGTTTCACCATGTTGGTCAGGCTGGTCTTGAACTCCCGACCTCAGGTGATCTGCCCACCTTGGCCTCCAAGGTGCTTGGATTACAGGCGTGAGCCATCACACCCAGCCCCAGAAAGGTGATTTTTTTTAACAAGTTAAAGAAATAACAGATGCTGGTGAGGTTGTGGAGAAAAAGAAATGCTTATTCTGTTGGTGGGAGTGTAAATTAGTTCAGCCATTGTTGAAGACAGTGTGATTATTATCATTTTTCTGAGACGGATGGAGTTTCTCTCTTGTTGCCCAAGCTGAAGTGCAATGGCACGATCTCAGCTCACTGCAACCTCCAGCCCTTGGGTTCAAGCAGTTCTCCTGTCTCAGCCTCCCGAGTAGCTGAGATTACAGGTATGCGCCACCATGCTGGCTAATTTTTGAATTTTAAGTAGAGACTGGGTTTTGCCATGTTGTCCAGGCTGGTCTCAAATTCCTGACCTCAAGTGGTCTGCCCACCTCAGCCTCCTAAAGTGCTGGGATTACAGGTGTGAACCACTATGCCTGGCCCAGTGTGATGAGCAATCCTATTACTGGGTATATGCCCAAAGGAATATAAATTATTCTATTATAAATACACATGAACATGTATGTTCACTGCAGCACCATCCACCATAGCAAACACATGGACTCAATGTAAATTTCCATAAATGATAGACTGGACAAAGAAAAACGTGGTACATATACACCATGAAATATGCATCCATGGCCGGGCGTGGTGGCTTATGCCTGTAATTCCAGCACTTTGGGAGGTCGAGGTGGATGGATCACGAGGTCACGAGATCGAGACCATCTTGGCCAACATGGTGAAACCCCCGTCTCTACTAAAAATACAAAAAAAAAGTAGCCGGGTATGTTGGCAAATGCCTGTAATCCCAGCTACTCGGGAGTTTGAGGCAGGAGAATTGCTTGAACGCGGGAGGCAGAGGCTGCAGTGAACAGAGAACGAGCCATTGCACTCCAGCCTGGGCAACAAGAGCAAAACTCCATCTCAAAAAATAAAAGTAAAAATGCTACGCAGCCATAAGAAAAATGAGATCATGCCCTTTGCAGAGATGTGGATGGAGCTGGAGAGCTGGAGGCCATGATCCTTTGCAAACTTAACACAGGAACAAAACCAAATACCACATGTTCTCCGTTATGATTGAGAGGTAAATAATGAGAACACACAGACACAGAGAAAGAAACAACACACGTTGGGGTCTTTCAAAAAGTGGAAGGTGAGAAGAGGAAGAGGATCAGAAAAAATAACTAGTGGGTACTAGGCTTAGTACCTGGGTTATTAAATAATCTATACAGGAAATCCCCATGACACTGTTTACCTATGTCACAAACCTGCACTTGTATCCTTGAACTTAAAAGTTTTGTAAGACCGGGCGCGGTGGCTCAAGCCTGTAATCCCAGCACTGTGGGAGGCCGAGGCGGGTGGATCACGAGGTCAAGAGATCGAGACCATCCTGGTCAACATGGTGAAACCCCGTCTCTACTAAAACTACAAAAAATTAGCTGGGCATGGTGGCGCGTGTCTGTAGTCCCAGCTACTCAGGAGGCTGAGGCAGGAGAATTGCCTGAACCCAGGTGGCGGAGGTTGTGGTGAGCCGAGATCGCGCCATTGCACTCCAGCCTGGGTAACAAGAGCGAAACTCCGTCTCAAAAAAAAAAAAAAAAAAAAAAAAAGTTTTGTAGAAGAACTATTTGTTGAGACAGAGTCTTGCTCTATAGCCCAGGCTGGAGTGGAGTGAGTGGTGTCATCTCCGCTCACTACAACCTCCATCTCCTGGGTTCAAGCGATTCTTCTGCCTCAGCCTCCCGAGTAGATGGGATTCCAGGGATGCACCACTAGGCCCGGCTATGTTTGTACCTTTTAAAGAGGAATCAACCAGTATTTTTTTTTTTTTTCCAACCAATATTTTCAAAGATGGTTTTGTTTATAAAACGTAATCTTCCACTTGTCCAGCAGACCAGTGGACCAATATATTCTTCATATATTGATGGATTGACTAGAGACACACTCTGTCTTCCAGGCTGGGGTGCAGTGGTGCGATCAGCTCGCTGCAACCTTGGCCTCCCACGTTCAAGTAATTCTCCTGCCTCAGCCTCCAGAGTAGCTGGGATTGCAGGTATATGCCACCATGTCTGGCTAATATTTTATTGTTAGTAGAGATGAGGTTTCACCATGATGGCCAGGCTGGTCTTGAACTTTTGACCTCAGGTGATCCACCCACCTCAGCCTCCCAAAGT